GTTTTATAAACATTTATTATCTGGCGGCACTTATTACACTGTTTTCTTTTATTGTAGAGAACCGTTTTCTCATTTGTGCAGTACATTTGACAAAAGTCATGAATCAGACATTTTACTATTTTTATGATAAAACAGGACGGTTCAGCATCCTCTTAAAGGGTCAATTATAAAGAGGATTCTTTCAGGATTTGCTTTTCTGTAAGTGGAGGCTAGTCGGAGGAAGTGTTGGAATTTAGGATCGAGCGGTGGGGTGGTTGATCGTGACAAGTCGGAGGATTTATTGTCCGCGGATTCTTGCCTGGATGTAGAAGGTTGAGGGGTAGGAGAGCGAGGAGGAGGTGGAGGAGTCGGCACGGATTGCAGATCCGCGGGATTTTCTGCGGGACAAGCGGGTTCGGAGTGCGTTGGTGAGGGAGAGCGAAGAGGTGAAGGCGGCGGATTGTTCGCGGGCGAACAAGGGGAGGATTGAACGTCTGCGGGAGGATCGGGGGTTATCGGTGAATAGGAGGGAGCTTCATACCACGAATCGTCGTGTGTATGTGTGTCTGTGTGTGTGTGTTGCGAATGCGTCGGTGAGTGTGAGTGCGCGTGCGATAGATTCGTGTGCGTATCGCAGGAGTTTTTATTATTATTGTGGCTGTTGCGATTGTCTCCTAATGTCTGAGGACGGGTGGCGTCAATGGACCTGGTCGGCTCCGCTTCGTTTAGTGCGAGCGCTGTCGCTCGTCGCAATTTTACGTTGCGTCGGTGGCGCTGGGCCTTTTTACCCGTTCGCGAAGTTCTCTGCCGGGGTTCCACTTAAACGATTTTATGCAATTACACTCAATTTATGTTATTGTATTTTCTTTTGTTATTGATTTTCTTGGCTTCGCGACCGTTTTCGGAGATGTTGAGCCTTGTTTATCACGTGGTTTAGGGAAGAAAATAAAGAAAAAAATTCGGCTGCCAACCGAGACGGTTATACACCGCGAGTAGCCCTTCCAAAAAATTCGGTTGCCACCCGAGACGGTTACACACCGCGAGTAGCCCTTCCAAAGATTTTGGCTGCCACCCAAGACGGTTACACACCGCGAGTAGCCCTTCCGATTAAACCGAATTTTGAGTGTATCTATATATTTGTTTATTTTGACCGTTTTCCGATATCTCCGAAAATCAATCGCGACGTCAGCTTTTAATTTCGCGAGAAGTGGAACCTGTATATATAATGATGTGGACTTACTACTTAAATGATTGCTGGCTGCGATTTCCTTTCTCCCTTCGGCCCGTACGGCTTGGTAGGTAGCTCGGAACCTGGTGCGGCTTCGGTGTTCGGCTGATTTTCGGCGCACTACTCGCACTTGCACTTGCAATTTTATATGCTCACACGTCGCGACTTTGCTGCGGCACTCCCGGCGGAATCAGTAGGTTTTTTCTGACTCCAGCTCCGAGAGTTCTGTATTATATACTCTTTTGAGTCAGTGAATGCTCACCGAGTTTCTTCCAATCGGAAAACTCGGTTGGGCCTTGCTGGTTTCTATTTGTTAATTAGTCGGTCGGGCGACTTGCGAGATCGCTAATCGGCGACGATCTCTCGCTTCGGTCGCCTCGTCCGATTTTTCGGAGAAGGAAAAAGGGAGAGTGTTGTTTTTTCGATCACGCTGTATAGACCCTTTGCTATTTGCTTTATAATAAAAATGCTCGTGGCGCCGGAGTTTCTATTTGCGCCGGCCGCTCTAATTTTTATAAGCGGTGTTTTCATGACCTGGAGATATCCGGGTTTGTTTGGAAAGCTGCTCGAATAGTAAATTTTTCTTGCACGTTATCTAAAATTTCGTGTTATTGCCAGCCGCGGTTTATCTTTTCGGGCGCCGATATAATTTCCGTTTGCTCTCCTATCGTCTGGAGTTTAAGTTTCCAAACGATAGGAGACTTTTTCGAGTTATTTATTGTTTTTTTTATTATTTACAAAAAGGGTTTGCTATGCGCTGGCGCGTCGCGTCGCAGAAAAAAGGGGACCGTGGAGTCTCCAGGACTTAACAGATATTTAGTAAATGGCCAATAGTTTTACGTTTTGAGAAGAAAATTGAAAAAAAGAGTAGTTACATTATCGACACGACGTAGTTGCGAACAACCAATTGCTACTATTTAGTTCGTACGGCTCTCGCTGGCGCTACAAGCAATCGCCCCGCTTGCTCTCCTATCCCCGCGCCTGCTCTGCGAATTTTTGACGCCGTCTGTACTGGCACCCTAAGGGTACGATCCCATGCACTGTTATTTTTCGCGTAACGCGTAATGCGTAACCAATCAGAGAAATTACCTGTACTAACATAAAGCACGTAATCTCTCTGATTGGTTACGCGTTAAGGGTCGTCTACAATGGAGAGTTTTAGACTGTAACAGTAAGAAACTGACTAATCACAATCGATTATTCTTCTGTACTTTGCCTGTGATTGGTCAATTTCTTACTATTACGGCCTACAACTCTCCATTGTAGACGGCTCTTAATACTTCTATATTGCTAGTACGGTGCCGACCTGAAGCCCAAATGTTACGGTGCAGACAATATAGTAGCCTCTCTCTCGCGCAAGGTCCAGCTGCTTTGTGCGCATGCGGTGAACATTCAAGCACGCTTGAGCATTTCTCTTTCTCGCGTTCTTTCTCTCACTTTCCAATGCTTTGTCTCGCTCGCACTCGCTTAGTAGACGCGCCTGCGCATAATGACGCTCGACTATCTATNCGCTTAGTAGACGCGCCTGCGCATAATGACGCTCGACTATCTATGCCCATATTTGGACTTCGTGCGTCTCTCTTTCTCGGGCCTCGTGCCTCTCATTGCGAAGATACGCGACTAGCAATATAGAAGTATTATATATATATATATGCCTAAAAACCTATTCCCTTGAGCGGATTCCCTCCCAATGAACCGTAAAAATCGGGACCACTTTTTCCATTCGCGCGCTTTCAAGTTCGATCTCCTTACTCTTACTTCGTGTTCGTGACTGCACCAAATCAAACCAACCTAGCGTAATCGAGGCTGCGTTCCGAGTTGCGCGCATTTATCTATATTATACGTGACGTGTACTATAGATAAATGCGTAACTCGGAACGCAGCCCGAAGCACCTGTCTGTTCATTTTGTTTGCAAGCATGTGTGTAACACCGTGCGGATGTGTTTGCACGTTACGTATATTGATGTATATCCATATGTATGTTTCCACGTATGTCACTGCTCGGTAATACCGGTAATAGTTTTGAGAAGATGCAAGAAAATTCGCTTGATTGTTCTGTGCGCAATCGTTTGTAAAGAGAACGGGAAGAGCAGTTGTTAGATTTCCGTGAGCGTCTGAAACAATGGCAGATTTGTTCAGCACGTCCGTGTTACGGAAGGATTAAATGAAGGAGGTTGGCTCTTTTTACTCTTCCACGGTATTTCAAACTCGCAATCAGAATGGTTTATCTCGCTCGAATCTGGCTTTTTGTACTTGTTTATGGTAAGTGCGACAATTAATTCCGCATTGAGATATAATGCTTATTTTCTGTGCACAATAAAATGTAATACACAATTACGCGATGTTCGCGACGTAATGATACAACACGTCGGTCGATCAATAAGATTAAATTCACTTGTTATATCATGTTTAATTTAATTGTCATCAGTAACACAGTAATTATATTACACTTATATGCAAGAGGAGTTTTTTAATATTCGCTTGCAATTTTGTCTTCTGTACATACACATGTATCTCATAAGACATTATTGGAACTGAGTGTGTAAAAAAGTTTGTGATGTATTCTATAACATTCTGAAATATAATACATTCTATTTTTGCATTTTGTTTTTTGTATTTGTAAAAAAATTTCAAGGAAGCATAGAAATATTTCTGTTGAAATACTTATATCATTTAATCACTTGTTAGTGTTTTCAGCAATTTTAACACATACAACTGGATCACGAGTTATTGAGCTCAGTGATAAGTAAGAAAATTAATTTTTGAATTTGATTTTATTATAATAAAGAGTTTGTTGTTCACAATATATTATATTTTATATATTTGTTTTAGATTTCTTGATATACATAAAGAGGGACAATGGCTAGTCATGGTATGTTTTTTGTATGTTTTTTGCAACATTTTGCTTTGTATATTTATATTAAAGATACAATTATATTATTTCTGTTTCATAGATGTATGCGCCTTGGTGCGCCCACTGTAAAAAGTTGGAACCAATTTGGTCTCACGTTGCTCAACATTTGCATGCAACACCAATACGAGTAGGCAGAATAGATTGCACTAGATTTACCAATGTGGCTAATGTATTCAAAGTTAAAGGATTTCCTACTATTCTATTGTAGGTATTTTTTTCTCCAACTATTGCTACACTATTTACATGTATTCATAATTTTATGATTCATAGTTTAAAAGGTGATCAGGAACACATGTATCACGGTGACAGAACTAGGGATGAAATAGTTAAATTTGCTTTGAGATTAAGTGGCCCTCCTGTACAAGAAATAACAAAGCCTCAGAGTTTCCAGTCTATTATGAAAGAACAAGATCTTTATTTCTTATATGTGGGAGATAGATCTGGGATCTTCTGGGTAAACTTTTCGCTAATGTTCAAGAATATTGTGTAGGCTGCTTGTAGAAATCCGAATTCACATGTCAGTGTTTGATCTATTACAGGAACTTTATTACAAGACTGCAAATATGTTTCAACCTTTTGCGTATTTCTACCAAACTTATCCACGTATTGCGAGAAAGCATGCGCCGGTGGAAAAAGTCCCTGCGCTATTTGTGTATAAAGAAAACTTACATTACAATTTTACTGGTAAGTTTCAGAGACGAAAACACAAAATAAGACTATGTCGTTATTTGTATCGTTGCAGCAGTGTTTCGTACTTATAGGCCACGACTTGAATGACATAGAAAAAATGAATGAGACACTTTACAAATGGGTGAATGCAGAGCGCTTTCCGACATTTCCAAAAGTGACAAAAGGAAATATAAATCAATTATTCTTAACAAATAAGAATCTCGTTTTAGCTGTAGTGGAAGAAAACATATTGGAAGAGGTCGCGCCTGACATGCTGGAATTTAGAGATATGGTCCAATCCGTCATCAAAAATAAACGAGCAAAATATCACGAGTATGTTTACTGTTAAACGGGCAGCATTTTTTTTATCAGAGAAGCATTGAACATAAATTAACATTATCATTGTATTCAAGTCATTTTCAGTTTGGTTGGATAGGTAGTCCCGATCTAGTCAATAGCATAGCGATGATGGTAGTACCTTTACCGAGCTTAATTGTGATAAATACGACTACAAATCATCATCACATTCCGGAAGATGAAACAGAGAAATTGACGCCAAAAGTAATAGAATTGTTCTTGGAGCAGATTCGAAATGAAAGTGCTCCGGTAAAGTGTGCTGAAATAATTTTCTTGGATTATTTGATCTATGCTATATAAGTAAATTAACAATCAACATTTGAATTTTCAGCGATATGGTGGAAATAGTTGGCTGGTGCGTATTTATAGAGCATGGTTTGAGTCAAAAACCTCTCTAGCTTCAATGTGGAAAGGTAATCCCATTTTGACTACGGTGATCTTTGGGTTACCATTTGGATTTCTTATGCTAATATGTTACGGCACTTTTTGTCAAGATATTTTGGATGCGGACGAAGATGAAGATGGTAATTTTTTTATAAAGTTTTTAGCATTCGTTCTTTACATATATGTGTACATAATTATGCATTCTCTTACGTACATTTTTAGAAAATACTGCTCACATGAAGAATGACTAAAACCAATTATGAATACATTATATATGTATAGTGTATATAATCTCATGTGGTCATCCTGAGAGTATCTCTTATATGTTAAAATTTTCGCCAAAGTAACCTTAAGACGACAGAAACTTTTATACAGTGATAAGTGCCGCTCTGACATTCCATATATTTTTACTTTTAGTAAATGTTTTGTTTTGCATATCTATAAAGTTTTATGATATAACTGGTTATATATGCGAAACGCGCAATGTGTATGAGACAATACAAAACTGTATAGCAAGTATATACAAGAACTTGGAAAACTTTCAAATTGAAATGATCTTTTAAACACAGTTTTAACAATTGCAGAGTATAAAAAAAGTCAAACATATTTGTGTGTAAACGTTTATATAATTACACACGCGCGCGCGTATAACAAATTATAAAATATTGGTTATATGTACATAGAGGAGATGATATTTGGCATTATAACCGTGTGATATTGTATCCTAAATTGTAACTTTTTTCTTCTGAAAAAATAAAATATTTGTTTTGCATTGCATCAAATATATGTATATCAAATAAAAAAGAAGTAAAACATTCTTCCTTTTAGATTATCAAAAACAAATGTACGCAATATTAAGTTGCAAAATAGAAAATTTTTTTGATGATTCTAATTGTGTATATTCTATACCAGTATTTAACATTTATTCAATAATAACTTTATTTTCATACATTTAAAAGTAATGATACAACAGAGTACAAAACTAGCACATACAGTGAATTTTACTGAGTTACTGTCTATGGCAAACTGAAGAGGAATTTTACTGATTTAAAAGTATTCTTATTCAAAATTTGTACAATTGCTATAAGTTCATCTCATCGTCGGAATCCAAAGCTGCTCTTCTCCTATCAAACTAAAAAAATTTATAAAAGTTTAATTTTACCATATAATTTTTATGACACATGTGTACTCAATTCTATTGCTTACTTACTTTAACAGTTGTTTTCTTTTGTGTCTGTTGATTTATAGTTTCAAGTAAACTGATCAGTTCTTTTTCTCCAAGTTTTCCAGGTAGTTGATTACGTTGTGCCATATTAATAATCATTTCTTCTATCATTTTTCCTTTCTCAGGTTTTCCAAGACAAAGTGTATTCACTATTAAGAGATAAATAATATTACATGCAAATTGTTTAGTGAGAGTTGAATATTAGAAATAAAGGAAAATTACATCTTGCTCTGGCAGATTGATCTAACACCTGAGTCAGTATAGAATGTTTCATCTCTTCCATCTGTTGTATTCTCTCTTCTATTGCTTGTTTATTATTGACATTGTTACTCTAGAATATTTAAATTAATTTTTATTCACATGTCAAAATATCTATAAAAAAGCGTTTATAAATTGCAAAACTGAATGAATATATGAGTTAACACTTTTATTTTTTTTTCTTCAAAGATGTAAAATCGAAAATAAACTTAGTACTTATTTATTTGAGTTACTTATTATACTTATCACTTAGTACTTATTTATTTGAGTACTCGTTATTATATTTGCAAGTTATGACCTACTTGCTTATATTTAGATCTTTTGATTGTTTTGGATAACATTGTAAATTTATTTTTTTATCATAAACGTTTGTTTTTAAATATTTTATATGTGACTAATCAAAGAGACAATTTACAAATTAAAATATTAAATATAACTTCTAATCTTTTATCACCTACATTTGAAAGTATTTTCAAAAGTACGCAATTTTAAAGACATTACCTGGTGTTGTGCCTGTAACTGAGCCAAACGTTCCTGTCGTATTGCCTCGAGTTCTGGATCTGACATTACTGTGTTGTATCTTTCTTTTACAATTTTTTCAAAATACACTGGAGAAGCACACAAACCTAACAGATCGGGAGTTTTTCCGTTTCTTACATGTTACTAGTTCAATATGTTATGTAATTATAAATATCTCAAGAAAACAGAAACAGCTAACTTCCTTGCAATAATAGTTTTGTGCTTTTATGGCTTCTTGGACCCTAATGCTAGTTCATACGCCATTCTTTGTTTAGTAAAGGCCATCGCACATAAAATTACTTAGGGTGCAATCCTATACACTGTTATTTTTCGCGTAACGCGTAACCAATCAGAGAGATTACGTGTTTTATACATAGAGCTCATACTCATGAGTTGCGGTCCGTTTCATGCTTAACCCTTTGCGGACGAGCGGCGGATATATCCGCCCAAGCCTTTTTTTACCGTTGCGGACGAGTGTCGGATATATCCGCCCAACTCTCGCGCTGCGGCTAGCGTACGTCTGCCGTCGTAGGCGATAAGATACACATGAGGATACTAGCCTAAGACGTCAAGTGGCCTCTCAATGAAATTAGAGACTTTTGAACGATGAAGTCTTATCTTCCGTATAATGTAAACTTACGATGCAAGACCATGGTAGGGTCAGAACGAATTTCAGTTTGTCGAGTCAGTATAATTTATTTGAATAAAGCCTTAATTTGTAAAACGCAAATATGCGACGTGAAAATTTTCTTTACTGCACGCTCCAATACCTGTCGTCCACAGCGACGCTCGCCCGTCGAGCGTCTCCGTCCGCAAAGGGTTAATCGCTCATTTATTTGTAGTATATGTCACGTATACTATAGATAAATGTGCGCTTAACATAGACCTTATACTAATGGAGAGGCCATGGGAGCGCAAGGAGGATCGACAAAGAGAGATATATTTTTTTGTTTCAATTGTGGGCACTTCTTATAAAAGAGAATAACAGAGAACACGGAGTGGGAAAGCCACAGTTGAGACAAAATATATCTATCTCTCTGTTGCTCCTCGCGCGGTCCTCTCTATGGTTAGCATATAGGCATGGCCTCTCCATCTTCTTCTTTGATGTAATGGCTCTTGCCTCGGTGAGGAAGGAGCATACGCCAGTCTTCGATTGGTGGAATTTAACTTGGTAGAGCTGTACTGAGCTGTGCTGCGCTGTATGTACTGGGTTTCAGGCAACAAGGTGGGTGAAGGGTAAAGGGTAAGGGAAAGGACATACAAAAGGTAGGGGAAAAGGAGCGGGAGTTAGCGGAAAATGAGGAAAATGGAGAAATGACACTGTGTAAGTTAGGGAATTAAATGTCGACGTTGGTAGAACTGACAAACGTGAACAAAGCAAACATGGCACGTAGATTATTTGAAAAGGCAATGTCTACGACACTATACGGAGGACTAAAGCCATTATGGAAGAGGTCCAAGAGCAGTTTATCCGTAGCAGTTTTATACTTAAGGCAGTTAAAGAACAGATGATTAACGTCTTGTGTCGGATGACCACACGGGCAGGCAGCGTCATCAACAATACAATACACTTGTCTCGAAGATGATCATTTACCGCCGTATGGTGGGAGGGTATTCTAGATATAAGAGAGATTAACTGTGTGGCGAGGGAGAAACTTATTCTTTTTGAACCTTGTGAACCAGAGTTTGCCCAACGGCTCCTGAACAAACCTGAAGTACCTGCTACCTTTTTACTGGGCTTCTCGTAACAACTGTTCTTTTGACGACTGTAGCGCCTTAGACTTAAGTATCGGAAACAGGGAGGACACCTCTTGTTCTTCAACAGGTTCTGGTAACGACAAAGCAAGCCTGGCACTCTTATCTGCATGTTCGTTACCACCTATACCGCAATGACCAGGAATCCAAACAACACGCGTACATTATTCCGCCTCAGCTTTAGTTCTAGCTTCTTTATTAAGTACATAGTATCAGAGTGTAAACCCTTGGGATCCGAGGACTCCAGACAGCGCACGACACTGAGAGAGTCCGATGCCACGGCTGCTAAACTGAACCCAAACTCGTCAATATACTCCAGAGCGCACAAGACCCCTCTAGCTTCAGCCTCAAAGACCCTCAGCCAACTGCCAACACGCTCGTAGTGGGTAAGATCAGGGTTGTCCGACACCACCGCGAAGCCTACAGAGAACGTCGAGTCCACGCTTGGATTCCGAGACACTGACCCATCTGTAAAAAAGACACGAATAATCCCCTTCTCAGACAGGAACGTGTCAAACAAATTCTGTGGATCACCAGCACTACGAAGCTGAAACCCCACCTCCGTATCTACACTACACTTGTGATACTAGATACCGAAAGGAACAGACAAGTTACCAGGCAAGGAAAACTTTTTGATACCGTCTACGAGTTGTGCAAGTTCCTTACGAACCTCGAAGAGTCCGAACATGTTATTTTCACATATCGGTGTCTAATCCCTAGACACTTCCTCCATCACACGGCCAACCGGATGGTCTCTCCTGGTACTAACTCTGGAAACATACTTACTGACTAGAAACTTATGTCTGAACAGAAGAGGTTGCACACAAGCGATGTCAAGGAGAACGTTGGTGGGGGTGGTACACATTAAACCACATGCAACTCTTACGCATGCATACTGAAGTCTATTTAGCACAAGCATTTCGCGATCGCCCAGAGAGTAAATAACCTGACACCCCCACTCTAAAACCGATCTGACTAGTCCCTTATAGGCTGTTATCAGAATCAAAGGGTGGGACCCCCACTTTATTCCTGCAATGGCTTTTAGGATATTAATCCGGGGGAGGACCCTATGGCGGGTTTCCATGACGTGTTTTTTTTACTTCAAAGCATAGTCAATATGAACACCTAAAAACTTAACAGACCACTCTAATTTAATTGGATTCTGGTTTATTTGTAACTGGATTTTATGTTTTTTAATCAACCACTTAGTGTTACGTAAAGAGTTGAGAGAATAAAACGTGGCAACAGACTTGCTAGGAGAAATCCTCAAATCAAGGGAAGCCAGGTGTCTGAAGACCCTGTCCAAAGCCCCGTTTAATTTCTGAGAGGTTTCGACAACTGACTGGTCTGAGCTATACACCACGATATCGTCTGCATAAATGAGTGCAGTGACTGCGGGTGGAAGACAGGATTCCACGCCCGACATATAAATGTTGAACAGTAATGGGCTTAACACAGAGCCCTGAGGGAATTTTCGGAAGATCGACCGGTGTTCCATGAACACTCCGGAAACATACGCGTCAAGTTCACGAACTTCGACCACCGACTTTATAAAAGCAGTCATTCGGGGGGTAGCTCGTAAGTCCCGGAGTATAGAAAGGAGCTTTCGTGGGTTGACGTTATCAAACACTCCCTCAACATCTAAAAAGACAGCACCTGTAACCTTACGAGAAGTGTTGGCTACTTTAACCTGTGATATTAGGAAAGAGAGGTTGTCAGTACATGACAAACCTCATCTAAACCCAAACTGGTGTGGTGACAGAATACTAGTAGTAGTAGTAGTAGTAGTAACATTTATTGTGTCCCAGCTCTCCGGGTTTACAAGGCGTTTTTGCAAGAAACGTTCCCAAAACTTTCATACAATTTTTTTTACAAAAACGCTTTCCTTAATATTGTTACGCGGGGGTCACCGCGTATGTGTCGCGGGAGCCGCGTGAACGGCGCGCGATCGGCGCGACTGTCGGTTACCGGGCGACGACGGTTTGTTAAAAAGAAGAGAAGAAGATAGAAGAATCGCGACCGCGGATCTGACACGACGTG